AACGCTTAATCAGTTAACCAGAAATGTTTCACACAATACTTTTATGAACTTCTAACCTATAACCCATTATTATTAGAAAGCAACATTTCAAAGGCTCATGTTTTAAAGCTCTATTATTTATTGTCTTTTTAGGACAGGATAGTATTTTGAAGATGCTACTGCAAATAAAAGTGCTGTTTGTAGAAAGTAATCCCAATGTGAACCAACTTATACATACACACACACACACACAGACACAGACACACATATATACACACACACACATATATACATACATACACACACAAACACAGAGAGATATCTATCCCAAGTTGATTATTTTCTAAACAATATTTGTATCAGGTTCAGAACTATAACATTTCTGACAAGAAACTATATTGAAATATGTAATCTTAGTTTAACATTAATGTCTGAATGCATGTGAAAGCATAAATTGATTTCAATATTGGAATATATTTAACATATTAGTAACCCAAGGTTACAAATAGGAAATGTAGATACTGGTACTAAATCTATTGTGCACAGTAATACTAAAATCCATGAAACAAAATTTTATTTTGTTAACCCGGGATCATTGAAGACTTGAAATGCTTGAGAGTTTTAACAATTAAAATTCTATATATACATATACATATGTGTGGTGTGTGTGTGTAAAATTTTAATTGTTAACACTCAAGCGTTACAAGTCTTCAATGTAATATGTATACATATGTAATAAAATAAACTGTATTTTTCATCTGAATGGCTGGAGCAAAAAGAATAAAATCAATATAGTCCTCATTTGTGGAAATGCTGAAATGTCTCTTGAGAGACAAGAAGCAAACTTGTAAATGTTTCATAATTGACAAGAAAAATATTTGGAATTATAGTTAATTCTGTTTTAGATGACCCACAAAACTAGTTTCTACAGACAGGAGTCCAATGATGAAGTATCCTTCTTGGCCCAAAAATATTAGCAAAAATTGTAACTTTGCATTCTACAACTAGTATGTGAGAACTAAATCATTATTAGGGATAATGGAAGCAAGGTAAAGGAAAAAAGAGGAAATCTGTAGATATCTCCATCACTCTTATAACATTCTCACTTGGAAAATACTACTTCAAGAAAATAAACAGTGACCACTTATCCAGTCTGAGAGGCTCCATTAGGCCAGTGGTTCCTCTCATATTTTCTTCTAGTAGTGTCTACCTCAAAATAGAAGAAAGTATTTTCCTAATGGAAGTGGAGATTAAGATAGATATCAATGGCAGTGACCATAGAGATCAAGGGGAGTAGACTGTGACATTTTTGTTATCTTCTGCAGTTATAACTTGAGGACAGAAAGAGTGAGTACCGGTAATCTGTTTTGCTAGACAACAGACTGGGAAGCAGGGAAGAAAAAAGTAAAAAGGAGAATCTGCATGGATTTAAGCCTAATGTTAATTGTAATGAAAAATAGAAACACCTCAAGATTATAGCTATTGTGTTGAAAGAAGGCTATGTTTCTTATACATATTTTCCAAAGGGAAATTCCTTAGGGTGCTGCTAATAAAACACCAAGAGGCTGAAAATGAACTGTCACACCCTATGAGCACCTGAATAAATAAAGCAGAAAACGAAGAATTGGCTTTGTTTTTTTGTTTTGTTTTTTTCAAAATGGTTGACCATTTAAAATAAACATATGTTGTTTCATTTCAGACAGCCAAAGTACTTGCTAACATTAGAACATAGGCAACTACAATAAATAAAAGATTTGGGAGGTTGCCATCTGTAGGATCACTTTCTTCAGTAGGCTCTTCTTAGATTCTCTGTCCAAATTGGAGGTCTCTTCCAGATCCCTCAGATATAGGGACGAAGGTAAGGACCAAGAAGCAAGGCCTTTGTGGTGGCAGCCTCCCCTTTCCATGCAAAACCCAGGAGATCCCTTCACTCTTTGCTTTGAGTTGTGAAATGTTTCTTCCTCTGAGATATATCCCCAAAGCACCTGAGGATCTCTGGTTTAATGTCTGGTTTTTCTTTAGTTCTGCCCTCCTTCCCCCCCACCCCCCACCCCCCCAAAAAAGAATCCTAGATCTCATATCACTTGGTATTTCATGGTTGCCAGTAATCTTGGTTTCCTCTTGAAGAAAAGTCTGGATATTATTTTTCTGAAGAAGACGAAGTAAATAAACAAGAGAAGACTTAGCATCGCTGGATCGTAGCCTAGGAGCAGGGGAGTAAACGTCCCTTCGACGACAACCGACAGGCTCAACAGAAATCGAGAAGCCTCCGTAAAAAAATAGGACTCAGTCGGGCTTTAAATTCTTTAACGGCGAGTCTCCGCCGGGACATAAAAGAGAGGCAGGGACAGCAGGCCGCGCGGTTCTGGAGTTGCCTCTCCTCCCGTTTTCCAGCTCCCTGAGGTAGCGGCGCTACCCTTCCGCAGAGCCTCCCGGCGCGGCGGGGCTTGACCTCCGGCCGTCTCTCCTCCCCTTCGCTCAGATAGACAAGGGCTCAACGCCTCTCTTCGGATGGGACGGGGAAGGAATTGTGTCCCCGGCTCTGCAGGCGCCGTCAACCGGGCCGCGTATCGCCTCACCGTCGCCTCAACTCGGGAGCCGGGACCCACCTGGCGCGGCAGGTAAGAGAGGCGCGCGCGCGAAGAGAAGGGAAGAGATGTTTTGGCGCCAACTCCTATTCTTGGCGCTGGGACTTGGCTTTCCCGCAAATGTGGTTCCCTCTGGCCTGAAGGGGCACTTCTGGGGGTTGGAGAAGGGATCCGTTGTCAGTGACAGAATAAAACCCGTCTAGTTACCCCAAGCATAGGGGAGGCGGCAAATCAGATCCCGGAATGAATCTTAAGCTGAAGGGAGAAAGGTTTTATGGGGTCGGTGGCCAGTCCAGTCCCCCCCCCCCTCCCGCAATACCTTAAATCAAATCTGCTTAGAGAAGGGACAAAGGGAGGAAATGCCAAGATGGGAAAAAAATCAAGAGGAAAAGAATGACAAGGAATATTATTACTGAAGTGGAGCAGAAGTGGAACTCGTATGAAACTTTAATATAGGTGATTCAAAGCGAAGGGATAAATGAGAGTGGGTGGTATTTGAGGGGGTGGGGGCTCTTCCTTTGCTGCCATATCCTTTAAAACTAGCTTTGAATTGTCTTCCCTCATCCTCCAATAGGTAGTCCTGCCAGACTGTCCTAAAGGGATCTTGGCACTGTTCAAATATTTCCACTTACAGCACTCATTCCCACAGCCTTGTATCACTTATCTCATGTAAGAAGAATCATTTATTTCATTTAAAAATCTTCATAGCAGGAATAAGGACGTGATTCTCCAACAAAGTTTTTAACCTCTCATATGGAAACAGTGGCATTTGTTGCTGCCTTATCTAATATTGAATGCCTAGTACCCAGTGCTTTTTTTCAATGCTGCCAATCAGCCTCCCAATGTATGTTTTTCAGTTTATTTTTTGATATATATTAGGTGCTGTCTCCAGAATCAAGAGTGGATCTCTTTATGAGATCAAATGGGTAGATACATGAATGGGATGTGAAAGGATCAGAGTCCCCAAATATCTGTAAAAAAGTATTTTTCTAATTCATTCTAAAGTTTCTGCTAATGTTATTAGGATGGTATATATGTTAAAAGAGAATGAGAAGCAAGGTTTATTTTGTTCTTCTGGCATCAGTGGTTTGGTGAAAAAGTTCATAATTTCTTTATCTTGTTACAGAGTTCTGCCCTGATTATACCTATTGCTCCATTCTTTCCTATTCTTGAAAATGAAAAGAATGATTTTATATTTCTTTTTGCTGGTTGGACTTTTTCCAGTTTCAGCCAGGGAACGACAGCTTCCAAGAATACCTTTAAGTCAAAGAAATGATGCTAATTTTCATGGTAAGTTGCTGTGAGTTTGTAAAGCAAAGAAATGTGTATAATTTAATTTTCCTAATCTTTGCAGATAAGAGGCATAGGGACTTAGCCTATGTGTATGTGGAATAACTGATTTCAATAGAAAAAGGAATAGCAAATGAAAGGGAAGTTAAATATTTTACTGGACTGGTGACTTGTTTTGAAATAAATCAGTAAAACATAGCAAATAATAAAGTTAGAGTTAGGATTTTGAGGAAACAAATTAAGGAAAAACTATATTGCATATAAATTCCTATAATATTTAAAATAAAAACCACTTCTGAAGAAGACATTTGAGTTTACAAAAATGTGTACATGACCATTTTCTTTACTATTGTTTTTCTTTTCTATATTTCAAAACAGCTTTTCTTCTCTTAGTTTTACAATAAAATTTAGAGCAGGAAAATAGGCAGAAAAATTGTTAATTTCCTCCATTCCTTCCACTGCCTTTTCAACCAAAATTTCTTTCCGGAAGTAGCTTTTATAATATAAAAAGTCATATAGGGATAATGTTTTGTTCATCTGTATGTAATTTATACATTTGGACTTCTAATGCTGCATGCATATTGGAAAATACTAGTCTCAGTAAGATTAATTGTCTATTTGTATTAAATCTGAAATATATAACAGTATCTTGGAGTAAACTAGGATAACAAATCTCTGTTGGAAGCTTAACTGTATGACATAATGCATAATTTTTCTTTCCATTGCTTATGTATAATAAACGCTTGATTCCCAGTAGAGGTTTGGCCTCCAAATTACAACATAAACACTATTTTTTCCTCCTTCACCCTATTTTTTCCTTTTGAAATCTAGATTTAATGCACCCTATTTGGTGAAACTCCATTGAAATGGATCAAAATTCTATCAGGTGTCCCTGTGAAATAATAGATATGTTGTATCTAAAATAATGAAGCAGATATTATTAATTTTACATTAATATGTCATTTATGATAATTCACATCATTTATATAATGAATCAAAGCAATGGAAATTTAATTTTGTTAGAGCGGAAATATCAAGAATGTATGTTGTCATTCTGTGTATTAGTGAATTAAATTGAACTGAAAGAAAACACTTCATGTTAGATCTTCTACTGTGGACAAGAAATCAGAGAAGAAATGGAGTAGTCAGACCTTATGATTTATGCTCCAATCACAAATGCAGACAAAACAGAAATTAATAATTCTGTGGCAATTTGTAATGTAGAGGAACTGGAAATGTTGGCCTCCCATAAATGAGAGGGAACTGGTAGGTGGCAACAGTTTGTATCTTCCCTGCTGGGTTCCCCAAGGGACTTCCTTGGGAAACCAGGAGAGAAGATTGCAAATGGTGATCACATGATTATAGGTGCTTGGCAAACAATTGTAAGTCTGAGCAAGTTACCAGGCAACCAGATCACAATTTCATGACCACCAGGGGAGGGAGTGAACAATGCTTTGTGATGGTCAGAAGCGCTTTATATGCCATAAAGCCGCCTTTCCAACACCATTGTTAATTTTAAAGGGAACAGCCATAAATTGACTACCTGTACTATTTTTGTCAATGCAGAATTGATTGAGGCTAGTCCTTAATATACTGGGCCATTTGGTTATATGACAACTAAGAAGCAACAGTTAGAGTAGAACAACTAAATGGTGCAGAATTAAGAAAAAAATATATCCAGACTGTATATTACAAACATGACCTGGATGATTAAGAATCTATAGACATCAAGGTTGTGTATTATATCTTCAATCGTTAGTTTACATGCAAGATATATTATGAGAAATGCTGATCTAGGGAAAATATACATTTTAATTACACTTGATAGGAAAAAAAACCTAACAACCTTTGACATGCTGATGATGATTTTATAGTTGAAAGCAATGGATTTATTGTTGAAATTGAAATAAGAATGAAGCTTTTCATTTTCTACATCATATTTAAAAACAATTAAGATTATGCCAATATCAACCCAATGATACAGGAAGAGAAAAACCTAAAATAATAAAAGGGCTTTATCTTGCTGGGTTCAGTAATTCACAATGATGGTGAATTTTAAGAAAAAAATGAGAGAAAAATTATGACAGATTTGAGTCAGACATTAAAATGTAGAACAAAGGTATATATTGTTTCCTTTTCTTTTTTTGACCATGTATTATTCAAGATAAAGCTGTTTATAGGCCAGGGAAACTATATAAAAAATAGAAGGTAACTGCTCCTTCAGTGATGTGGCTAGGAAAATTCTTTATAGGCTTTTTTCAGTAAATTGGTGAAATATGTGACTTCTTAAAAGTACGACACATACATAAAATACATAAATGATGGTGCAATGTTGCTTTTAGGAACAAACCTGTTCTTTAAGAACAAATACTTATCACTAGTTAGATCTATTTTTTAAAATACTAGCTTACAATATTCCACTCTAGTTCTATTACCCATATTAATTCTTTTGTGAAGAAATCCTGTGTGCACTAACATTTATATTTTAATATTTTCTACCTGGAAATACAACTTCTTACACTTTTTAGACACTTTTATTTTGAAGATGTTTTGCTTTATAAAGCTGATTATATACATTTTATCTTGTTTTATTCTCATTCCAGAAAATGCTTGCAGTAATAAACGTCTTGACCTTGTGTTCATCATTGATAGCTCTCGGAGTGTTCGCCCTTATGACTTTGAAAAAGTGAAAGAATTTATCTTAACCATCCTGCAGTTTTTGGACATTAGTCCCGATAACACTAGAGTGGGATTAATCCAATATGCCAGCACAGTCAAAAATGAATTTTCACTGAAGACTTTTAAGAAGAAACAGGATGTAGAGAGAGCAGTAAAAAGGATGATGTATCTTGCCACTGGAACCATGACAGGATTAGCTATTCAATATGCAATGAACATTGCATTTTCAGAATCTGAAGGGGCTCGGCCACTCAGGGAGAATGTACCTAGAGTTATCATGATAGTGACAGATGGGAGACCACAGGATCCAGTTGCAGAAATTGCAGCAAAAACCCGAAATTCAGGAATCCTCATATTTGCTATTGGAGTGGGAAGGGTAGATATGAACACACTAAAATCAATTGGGAGTGAACCGCATGAAGAACATGTTTTTCTGGTTGCAAACTTCAGCCAAATTGAATCACTGACTTCTGTGTTCCAAACCAAAATCTGTGGTAAGGTATTAAATTATATTTAAAAGGCTGTGTTAGACATAATGATTTGGGGGCTGCTTCCTGTCCCACAAAGGAGGGTGCAAGGCGGACAAAGAGGCAGGGAGGAGTTAGGTAGGTAAGAAGAGTTGGAAGCAGTCCCTTATTTTATTGAGGCTTGGGACTGGAAGGGACCAGACCTGGAATGGCTTGGATTGTGATGGTTGTTCAGCTAACAATGGCAGTGGGGATTGTAAGGATTGCAGTTGCTAAGAGGTGTGGTCATATGATATCTCGCTCTACAATTGCATCACTTAGTGAGCAAAATTCTGGTCCTAGTTGTGGTCTTAAGTTGAAAACTACCTATAGAGAAAGGATTATAAAGTGATGAGATTACAGGAAGAAAAGTCAACATGAATGGAATGAAAATCATAAATGGGTGTTTAATTTAAAAAAACATTTAATGCATGGAATTGGGAAACACATAATAAATTAAGCAAATCCTGCTGTGTTCCTGAAAGTGTAGGCCATTTCTTAGTTTCCCTACTCTTAAGAAATTGTAGTGCTTATCAATGGATTGATATTTATGCCTAAAATGTACAGATTTATGAAACTTACAATATATATAAATGAAGTATCAAAATCAGTTTTGATCAGTTTTGCATATTTTATCACTTTAACATGCATATTTTCTATTCTGTTGATATTTTGGGGAGACATTCTTATGTGTTCATAAATTGGATTTTGAAGTTACTTTTTGTGCTAATTTATATATTGCTTCCCCCCTCCCCCCCACAGTTCAGCATATGTGTGGTATAATTCAACATGGCTGTGATCATTTCTGCATCAACATTCCTGGCTCTTATGTATGCAAATGTAAACATGGATATATTCTGGACTTAGATCGGAGAAGCTGTAGCAGTGAGTTTCATGTATTACGTCTTTTATAGTTCACTATATTATAAATAGGACATGGTGGGAAGATGCAACATTTTGACCCAAGGACTGCATTACTTGCAGATTAGAGGTGTGCAAATATACCTACTGTACTTTTCAGAGTATAAGACACACCTGTTTCCCTCAAAAAAGAGGCTGAAAATCTGGGTGCTTCTCATACACTGAAAACAGCATTTTTGGCCTCCCAAAACCCCACCCCCTTTGCAAAAATAGCCATGCACAGCCTTTAGGGGGCTTCCAGATTGCTCCTGGGGCCTGGGGAGGGCAAAAATGAACGAAAAACGGGCCATTTCCCCCCCCCCCCAGCCCCCAAGAGCACTCTATAAGCCTCCTAAAGGTCATGCATGCTCTTTTTTTTTTTGACAAGAAAATGGGACTGTTTTCGTGAAAAACAGGCCATTTTTTTGCTAGGTTTTTTTGTGGGGGGGCAGTCCCCAGGAGTGCTCTACAAGCCTCCTAAAGGCTCTGCATGCCCTTTTTTTTGACAAAAAAGGGCCCATTTTTGCAAAACACGGGTCATTTATGGGAGGTCTGCAAAGTGCAAAAACTTTTTTTTTATTTTGCCTCTTCAAAATCTTGGTGCGTCTTATACTCCAAAAAAAACCCAGTAGTCACATATAATATACACACTTTAAAACAGTTAATAACCATAATATTTGCACCCATTTTCCCTCTTTCCAATATGTATGCTTCCAATTATTAGTTTCCATCTGCGATTATGAGCCACATTAATGGGTTAAAATAGAAAGTATACTACCTTGTCTCCTAATCAGTTTTATAATCTTTATGGAGTAATATCTTATTTATCACTATCAAAAATATGATGTCTACTTAGACAAAGTATTTAACACAGATGAACATGGAAAATTGGACATTCTGTGGCCCTTGAAATGTTGCTGAACAACTACATTCTTTTACTATGGATTGGGGCTAATGGGAATTGACATTCAGCAACAATGGAAGAGTCACAGATTTCCCTACTTATGCACAGATTTTGATTTACAGATATTTTTATAGGTATAAAATATTTATTACCTACCTTAGAAATTAGAATAGATTTATATATTTGTTCTGTGCACTAACAGTTGAAAGTATTGACAAAATTTCACAGGGCAGAATTACATATTGCAGAAACGTATTAGGCATATAATCGATATAACCATCAAGGTTCTCCTTCAGTAATGTCTATTAAAATATATCTTATGTCTTTTTTCTTGTTCCACATCACTGACTGCTTGGCAGCAATGCTGCAGTATGTGTTAGAGAGTTGACTTTAAGATCAGTGTTCTTTGTCCAGTGTGAATTGAAGAGCATTGTGCAAGTTTTATGTTATGTCTTGAATTAAGTTTTTTTTTGTAGACAAATGTTTAACTCAATTCTTTTCCTCTTTCTTCCCCAATTTTCATGCTCCTCAGCATGTTATTTATCTCAAAATAATAAATATCTAAAGAAAACATTGATTATAGACTCTAAATGTCACATTTATTTTGATATATAATTCTAAACTTCATATAATATCTATCACTGATGATTATATATAAAATGCAAATATATCTGAACTTAAATTTATAGTTTAAATAACTATACATGTGTTTGTAAAACAGCACTACAGCTGTTTTCTTTCCTCTTGCCATTCTTGGATTCAATTAAACTATACTCATACTGAAATCTGAAACTGCAATCCAATTATCTATGAGGAAATCCAAACAAACTCAGTTGGGTTTCCTGTTTAGTAGATTTATATAAGATAAAGCAGTAAATAAATGAAACAATACTGTATACAGAACAGTATGCTAAATATTGATAGTACAGTGTTGCAGTTTCTTCTAACAGTAATGTTGTGAAGTTTATCCTTGCCTAGTGAATATTATTAGAGATGGCTTTGCAGCTGATTAGTTAGTTTAATTTGCAGCTGACTGACAAATGAAATAGTAAAGTCTAAGAATTTATTCAATTTTTATTCATCTTTGCTTTGAGCATTTTATAATAATTATGTTTTGCTTTAAAATGAACATTCAATATTTTAAATAATCTTGCTTCTGTCATTCAGTTTAAAAAATAATCCCAATCCCAGTTTGTGGTAACATCTGTATTTTGAAACTCTTTTCTTTCCAGTTTATTCCCGTCTGGTATTTCACTCTAAAACAGGGGCAACCTTAACTGTTTTGTTACAGTTGATTTTTTCCAATTCCTCTGCTTAATCTTCGCAGTTGCATTGTACACCTCCTTTTGCATGTTTGTATTTGTATTCTGTACCTCTGTCAGTTGACCCAAGTGCAATTGTGATATGTAGTTTTGTAATGAAGTAGTTTTCAGGCTTTTTGCATTTGAAGAGCCAACCCTACATAAACTTAACTAATCAGCAATTCCTGTAGAGGCAGAAGACAAAAACAATTGCTACTGTGACACTGGCTTTGTCAGAGCAATTGAGAGTTAAATCCAAAGTACTGTCATATGAAAGGTTTTGGGATCAGTGTTCATAATAGACTTTACAATGTAATTCCAGATATAAATAATAATGACATCTCCAAGTTTTTGCTATGGAGCAAAAAACTATACAAAGACTTTGGCTTTACACCAGCTGATCTGAAATATTATCTCATTATAATATTTGCTGCAGATGGACAGAAATTATCAAAGGGCATGCCAACAAACATAAAAAGTACAACAAAACATACAAAATATGCGTATGTCCAGTGTTTCATTTTCTGAATAAAATGTTACCGCTCTAATTTAATCCAGAAGCTAAAAGATTTATATTTATATACTAATATTATATATTTCTTATTATTTCATTATACTTTCTTAAACTCTCCTAGCTATCCAAATGAAATAATTACCAATTTCTTGCTTTATATAATAATATTTGATTGTTTTTATAACATTTCTAGTCCAAGATCTATGTGAAACTGAAAAGCATGAATGTGAGCACATATGTATAAATACACCTGGATCCTATGTCTGCCAATGTTATGATGGCTATGAACTTGAAGAAAATGGGAAGAATTGTTTCAGTATGTATTTGTTTTCAATTGCACTAATTCATAAAGTAGCTGACGGTTTCTGTTATTTCCCCTATATAATCCTGTATCATTTGAATTATTTGCTGTATTCAAATATTTCTGGTGAGAATGTTGACTTCTTGCTTTACCATAATAAGTTCTTTATATTATATAAAATGTTGATATGAATGTCATTGAATATTTCAAAATAGCTTAAAATGGAATAGCATAGTTCAGAGAAGGAAAAAAGAATGAGACAAGGAGGCATGCTTTCCTTACGTTTGTTTAACTTCTACAATGAATATTTTATAAGAATGACAGGATTGGAAGAGATGATACTAGGAATCAAAATAGGAAGCTAAAATAATAGAGATATACCAAATCCTACCTCTTCCCTCATATTTTCTATGTACAGTTTTGTTCTTCCTTTTTTTTCCCCTCTGCCTTTCCCAGCATAGCTTTATCTTCCTTTTGTCTCATTTTCTTATTGTACTTTTTTTCTGCTGTTTCTGGAAAGAGAGTTGCAGGAGGAGAGAGAGAATGGATGTAGTCATGTATACTTCTGTGTATCTGTACTTAGTCATTCAATTAATATATTTTTGTCCCACCTTGTTCCTTTTAAGAGTGTGGTTGCTGGCAGGTATAATACAGACATGCATATATGCACATATAATATGCTGTATACACATATTTATTGAGAAGGGAAATAATTTCCAACCCTTTTTACTCCTTAATTTGAGGTAGAGTCGGAATGACTGGTTGGAACTCAGCATTTACTGACCGGATAGCAATAGCACTTAAAGTTATATACCACTTTAGAGTTCTTTCCAGCCCTCTCTAAGTAGTTTACAGAGCCAGCATATTGCTCCCAACAATCTGGGTCCTCGTTTGACCGACCTTGGAAGAATGGAAGGCCGAATCAACCTTGAGCCAGTAACAATTGAACTGCTGCCAGTCAGCAGAATTAGCCTGCAATACTGCATTCTAACCACTGTGCCATCAGGACACACCACCCTGCGTGACATCAGGATGCCTTCCTGACATAACGCAGAGTTCGCCACAGATATATTTTTTTTGCGTCCTAGGAGAAAAATATCTGCCATTACCTAGGATTGAACTCTTAACATTTCAAGTAGTAGGCGAACATCTCTGCCACCACACCGCTCAATTTATTGAGGAGGGAAAAACCTCCAAGAATTATTTCAGCAGTTGACAAATTTAAAATATAAAGCAAGGTGCTGCATAGGACTTTTTTCCTTATTATAATTAAACTCTTTCTCTATTCTTCCTGTATTGCTGTTATTAATTGCTTACTTGGAGGCAGAACTAGTGATATATTTTCTTTAAATAAGTCTGTGTATAAAATGAAGTACACAGATTTGTTTAAAATTGCATTACAATTTACTGTTTGTATTATTTCTAAATTATTTCTGTGATAATATGTTTTCCTATTGATTGGAGCTTTATTACTGTAACTAATGAATGAATCATCTCCTAAAATGTGGTGATCATAAAAGATTTGTGTTAATATTGCATCTCATGAAGCAATTGAAAAGGAATGTTGTTTAAGAGAAATTTGATTTGATTTGTAATTTCCATTAAATAATCCACATTTCTTCTGCTTGAGTATAACACAACAAGCTTGACATAAGAAACTGATGAAAACCTTCCAAATATTGTTCAGTATCGATTGCTGCTGCTTTCATGTCAGAAGCACCAAGGCACTTCTGAATTGAAAGAATTAGATGGTAATATCACTGTTGCCAGGCGATTCCCGGTTGGGGGCTCCTTTCATGCCCTGTTAATTGCCCACCAAAGTAGTACTGTACCTATTTATCTATTCGTGATTATGTTTTTGAACTGGTAGGTGGGCAGGAGCTGGAGCAAATGACAGAGCTCACTCATCGCATAGCAGCACTCAGGTTTCAAACACAGGCTTGCAGTGTTTTATCCAGTTGAGCCACCACACTCTGTACTGTACGTTGTTTTGTGAAATGATGTAGGGAACTTTAATACTTAACTCTATTTTTTTCTGTAGTGTCATATTCTGATTTGTTAAGAATGAGTAATTTCAGTTCCATTAATTGCAATAAGATTATTTTAAATCAAAGTTCAGACCACACAATATGTGCCTTTATAGATTCCAGTAGCGAGCTTATCTATTGCTCCATTTTTTTTTCTTGTTGTATGTATCTGTTTAACAGAAGTAGCAAACGTACTGGGCTGTGTAGATTTCAGACAAACACTTAGGTTTATTGTAGTTACAGCATCTGATTTACAACAGTCCATGGTAAATTGGTAACGTGATAAGACTGTATTTTGGTTGAAGAATTACATTTACCTGAGTATGTTTTGGAATAGGCTGTTTCAATTCTTGATAATGACAATAATATAGGAATATGGATACATTTATAAATAAACAATGCTTTTTTATTATGCCACTGAAATTTATATAGAACTTGGCTGGTATGTCAGCAGTAGGTGAAGAACTAGATACTATCAACATTCTATGCATTCAATTTTAAAATTCTGTATCAAAGTAACTTGTCTTAAATTTGATCTTGCTTGTGCTTCAGTTGTGGACTATTGTGCTTTGAATAACCAAGGCTGTCAACATGAATGTATCAATACTGAAGATTCTTATTATTGTCAGTGCCATAATGGGTTCGTTCTAAATCCAGATAAAAAAACTTGCAAACGTAAGTTATCCACATCTCAATTCTGCTATTTAATACTTCAAAAGTTATATGTACCATCTTGCACCCAAAGCAAGAAGATTACTCAGTACTTCCTTTGCATACAGAAGGTTCATCCCATAACATCTCTAATAATTTCAGGTACCCTTTCCTAGGAAATACTTTTTGCAGAGTAATTTCTAATTCACAGTTGATTTAGCAATAAGAAAAATATCAGGTGTCCAAATTGGACGTACAGAGCAATACTCATCAAGAGAACAAAGTCTGATATTCCTGACACTCAGGAGGATATACCTGAGTGTCAGGAGAGTGATAGTCCTGTGTGGCTATGAGGGCAGTGCCAGCAACTGGATGGACACGGACATGCCAACAGGAGATTTAAGCAACTAATAATACCTGGGAACATCTCTAACTCAGATTGTTCATACATAAAACTTGTGTCAGGAAAAGAGGGAAACAACCATTTTAGTTTTGGGGATGGAAGTTGTGAGTGCATGTTCCTGAGAATGAAAATTTAACCCGAGCAAATATTAAAGAAGTTTTATATGTGTAACAGAAAGGAGACTTAATTACAGAAAAAAATAGGAATAGAAAAAAAAAAACCTAGTATCAACTAGCAACATCCTGTCAGGAGATTCAAAGAGTGTATGTTGCCTTGAGGAAAAGACAAAAGGATTTGTCTCAATATCTCTTAGACAGAGTAATGGTCAATAAAATGACATGCAGTAAATCCACAAGCCCATATCTACATTACATTATGATCCATGAAATGCTGAAGAGTCAGTTTTTGAATAAGATGCCCTTTTAAAATGTTGAGGCATGGTTGGAATATGCGGCAGGGGGAGTGAAACAACATATTCCTATGTTTCTAGGAATGCCTGTACATTTTATATTATGTAATTTTTATATGAAGAAAATATTCTACCTCCAAATCTCCAAAGATAAAAAGTGCTCACGAAAGCCAAGGTGCTAATCTTCATTACATTCTGTATATTTGGTACTTTCCAGTACTGTTCTTCTAAGAGTTTATTCTCAATCTTCAGGACCAGACCATTGTGCTTTGAAAAATCATGGCTGTCAGCAGGAATGTGTCAATACAGATGAATCCTACTTTTGCCAATGCAAGCAAGGATTTACTCTTAATCCGGATAAAAGAACTTGCAAAAGTATGTTGCCCTAAAAGTGTATAGTAAGTTCATCTGCTTTTATTTATCAACATTGCTGTCATAACATATAATTTACAATCACTTCAATTATAACTTTAGAACATGCATATGAAACCTCATCCTTCCTACATTTCTTTAAAGTGCTGAGTTCAAATAGTCATTCCTATCTACAGACAATGTTTATTCATTCAAGTACATGTGTATATACCTTTTTATTTTGTCAAAAGCTGTGTGCCAGTTAGAGTACAACATGTGCATAAGAAGTCTTCATAAGGAACAATTCCTATTTCTTTTGGAGTTCTATCCAAACCTAAACCTAAACACTTATGGGGGAAAAATAAGTGTGATAGCCAAGGTCTGGATGATTAGAACAGATTTTACATTTCTTAAATAGGAAACTGATGCAACACCATGTAAAATAAAGCTGATTGCCAGAGATGTCACAGACTTATATTAAATTGAAAACTCTAATAGGGTGAGGGGAAATTGGGTCTTAAGGCTATCTGTGACCCTCAGTCTAATTTATAAGCAATTAAAGCTCTCAGAAGAATTAACTATTCATTTTCTGCCTGTTTGTTTTTTAGAGGGAGAAAATTGAGTATTGAAAAGAACTCAAGTGTGATAAAAACAAGAATATGAGGAAGAAAGTCTTAGAAAGATTAAGTCCCATTTATTATTTGCTATAGACCTGTTCATTATTTAAATGTTGCTTGAGACAGATTACTTCTGAGAAAGTGCTCTCAATAGATAAAAAATGCCTGCTCTTTTCTGTACCATATAAAAGTATTCCAAATTAAAAATTGTTTAAGTTTTGAATGGAGAACAGAAGCATATAATCTCTCTAATATTTTATACTGAAATATTTTCATAATCTATCTTACTTTTTTTAAAGTGTCCCAGTTCTAATGACTTATGTAAACAAAAACAAGGTAACTGCTACCCTATTTTAGTACTAAATCCAATATAGGCTTAACCAAGGTAGATTCGAGTAATGGATTTCCCAAGCCAAGGAATTTGGGACAAATAAATAGCAATTGTGGCCACTAAGGGCCTGAAGCAGGGCTGTCATCATGCCAATAGACCTTATCACTAGCTATGAGTCTCTGCAATTAATCACGTTCACTATACAGTGCCAGTCTGCCAACCTCAGTAAAAAACTCAATTTGAAAGCCAGGCCTCAACTTTAGATACCAGTCCCCAAAGTTTTGAAAACTCTAGTCCTCTTGATGCTCCTTCTTGCACAAACACAACTGTCATCAAGAGCCTAGGTAAATTTTTAATTTTGCTTTTGCTTTCTGGGAACATAAATGAAAGGTGCAGTTTTTAATAGCTATATATGCTGATTATTAATCGGTGTTTTAAAAATTATATTATTTTCCAGCATTTTTACCTGACATGTTATTAGTTTTCTCTTTCCATAGGAATAAATATCTGCAGTTTAGGTAAACATGGCTGCCAACATGAATGTGTTACCACTGAAGAATCATATATGTGCAAATGTCAAATTGGATACATTCTAAACCATGATGGCAAAACATGCAGAAGTAAGTTAGATTATTTGAAGGCGTAAATTGACATATCAGAAATAATTTTCATATGAACAGGTGTCCCCTAGGAATATGTTGGCTATAACAACATTATGCCTTTAAAATTAACTTATTAAGTGACTTAATAAGTTTGCTTATTCCATAAATAACAGATTTGCTACAAAGCCCCTAAAAAGAATAACACATTAATTCTAGGAACCTTATCTTTATTTTTCAAATATAGATGGTTGCCAAAATAGTGAGAATGCCTACAACTTTTTTGTTATTTATGTGCATCTACATTTAATTTTTTGGAATATCTCTGATACATAAAACTCTCTTGGTTTATGTTTGCAATTCTATATATTATTGGTAAGAAAGCTTTTTCATTTGTGACAGATGTTACTACCTGTTGAAGAGAAAATATAAAAACTATTTTGTATCTGGTTCTGCTTCTGAAGTTTTCATATCTGGATATTTTATAGCCTGAAAATTCAAGTGTTTTCTCTTTTACTGCTCAACACAACAATTCAGGAATAGATCACTGTGCTGAGTTCAATCATGGATGTGAACAACTCTGTCTAAATACCAGAGAATCCTACATTTGCCAGTGCTCTGAAGGATTCATCATTAATGAGGATCTGAAAACTTGTTCACGTAAGTTTCTTGCCCGAGATATTCTATAAAATTAAACAAAATAATGCTTACACTGTTTTCCATAGTTTCTAGCAAAGCTTTATTCAAGTAGAATTTCACGTTAATTAGCAGTGATTGGATTAAATGGCCAAGAAAAGCATGTGTTGGCAAACTACTCAGAAAAGCAAAGGCACTGAGACATAGGGAGAGAGATTTTCCACAAAATGTGATTCCATTAAGAAAACACATCAGTAAATTTCAGTTTCATAGAAAGAAGTAAAATAGAAGAAAATAAATAGAAATAAAAAAGAGGAAGAGTGTATTTCAAAACAAAGAGTAGAAGTATTACTATTCGCTTTTGAATTATTGTAAGGAAGCCTTGTCACAGGTGTCAGTAAGTGCAGCTACTTGTGGACGTTTAAGCATACGAAACTGAGTGGTGGGTTGCTATTTTTTTTTACTACTGGTTTGCGTTTGTTTTCTTTTGTCTTCCCTAGGAATTTGTCTCTTTTTTGAACCAGAAAACAAAACTTCAATAAGAGTTTAAGAGGAAATAGTTCAGTTCAGTTTCAGTTCAGTTCAGAGAACAATTACTTTAGCCCCAAATAAAGCAGGTCTGTTTGTGGCTACAATAAAGAAATATTATTACACCACCCCCCAACTCCCATTCCCACCCCAATCAGTTGTCTTTATTGTTCACATAACAAATAGGGACAATTAAACCAACATTTTTTAAAAAAAT